ATTTCATAGTGTAGACATACCCTCAGCCAAGATGTTATATTAACTATTTCTTTGCACAAACTAATCAATCACTACTTTTTACAAAGCATTGTGGAAATTGGTTGACACCAAGAGTAATTGGAATGAATTTCTTTATGTTTTTTTTCTTTGAGCTCTAAACCACACATAACAACCAAAATGTCACCATTTCAAACTATTTTATGGTCATGAAACAAGGTTTCCAGGCCAAGTTTAGACCAGGTTTAGAATTACACTTAAGTGTATGTAAATACTATCAGCTTTCATGTAAATATGTTAGTTTGTGATTCTCCATTTCATGAATACAACACCTTCTCCATTTATTTACAAAGCCACAAGTTTCCAAGGAATGCGGTGAAAAGTACTACAAAGAGTACAGTATTAATATGAAAACTGCAATGGATGCTGACATTGCATTGGTTGTTAGTAATATTTCTAAAGCATAAAAAAAACCCAAGAAATACACTATGCTAGAAGAAATTTCTAAATGTGGGAAAATAACATGCAAAGTTGGGGAACGCATTATGTTACTGAATGCAAGAAGGAGAACAAGAAAGGGAGGGACACTGTAATGTATTTATCGAGGATCATACAAAGTTACCATTGTTATAGTAATAAATTTAAAGTGGAAACCTTATAAGGGAAGACTTTAGGATCTATGTACAGTATCTCCCACTTAAAACCATATAAAAAGTCACCAGCATTAGGTACTGAAAAGAGATTGTCAAAGGAAAACATCCAAACAGATGTGGGTGACATTGAAAAAACAGTCCCATCAGCCATTATTGGAAAAATGGGTGGTGATGTAGCAGAGAACCCTGATAACAGCAGTGTAATAAACTTGGAGGTCACAGACACAGAAGAAAATGAATGTATGGCAGCAGAAGAAAAGAAACAAGTAGCAGCAGAAGTTGAAAGCAGCAATCCAAGTGATATTGATGACATGTTTCTGGAAGATATGGAAGAAAAAGAACGGTTTCACAAAGGTAATTGTTTACCATGTTGATGTAATTTTTAAATATTTTGATAATATACTTCAATTTATGAAGTACGGTTAAAGGTTTTGAGGTAAAAATATCAACAAATGACAGCACACACAATGGTGAAACAGAGAAAAAGGATCAGGGGGTAGCCGTGTTAGTCTGTATCTACAAAAACAACAAGGAGTCTGGTGGCACCTTAAAGACTAACAGATTTATTTGGGCATAAGCTTTCGTGAGTAA